CACCACCACTCCATGCTCCAAAGGAGAATGATAAACCAAATGATAATGCAAGACCATTAATGCAACAATTATGATGGTGCGGTAAAATTCAAGAGGCTGATGGGGTCATTTATACTTTTAATTGTTAAGCCTGGGGCACTGATTCGATCAAATTTAATGAGATATTTAAGGTACGTTTAACACGTAGGCTTTCACAACCAATATCCATAATATAGGTTTTTTGGGTTAGATTGCATAAATATAAATGTATCGTTAAATCCGCCACCACCTGACACGTGGATTGTAAATGTTGTGGATTTGCTCTCCAACACACCGGTGTGCTGTACTAGTGACGACATATTCTGTTAAAGTGACAAACCTTACTAATTGGCTGTGTCGGGTGGTGGCGGGTTTAACGACACATTTATATACTTACGCGATCGAACCCAAAAAAACAACTGTATGATGGATACTCTTTGGTTCTTTCGGTAAAGTCACGTGACTTTCCCGAAAGAACCAAAGAGTATAGATTCCTGCAGTCACGAAAGCTTCAAATCAAGATTGTGTTATGGATATTTAATGTATGTTCACACAGGCTAACTCGGGTGGCACATCTTTGAGTCCCAGCCACCCCACTGCGTAAACACAGGCAGTAACTGTGCCTTTGTATGAACACTGTACTTGTTGAAATGTCATACGCGAGTGGATTCTTGGGAATCAATACACGCTATTCCATCATTAATACATATCATAGCATTGTTAAATTACATAGAACAATGATTTTTTTTTAATGGCGCCTGTTTCTTAGTCAATATCCGCTGACATTTTTTGATCTTGACATCTCTATTTCCTCAATGGGGGTGTTTCGGTTGGCGCGCTGTGCCACGAATGCGGCGGTCCGCTTTCGACTCCCACACACTGCTAACGTCAGGTGCACGGCAGTTACGAATGGTCATCACAGTGATCTAAAGCAATTGAAAAATAACTTAACTTTTTAAAATGTTAAACTAAAACTAATTTTTTTATTTTACCAGATGAGGCCCACTGAGCCATATAGTTAATTTTCAGAAGCGAACTGGCCAAAATGGACAGCTCAACGAAGTGGCTTATCACGTGGAAATTTATAGCGGCAGCCAAATACTCAAAGCAATGTTTCTAAATGTGGAGGGGAACACCGGAGGACCCGGAAAAAAAATCCACGTCACCACGGAGAGAGACACGCAAACTCCAAGTATACAGCAGGCGTCAGCGTCGGGATCAAACCCACGAGCTCCTGTATACGAGGCGAGGTAGTTAACATCTCGCCACCGTGGCGCCCCCATCGTTCTATTTCATTGTTCGTAATGTGCAGTGGTGGTGCAGCAGATGTTAGCACACTGCGCTGAAGACTGCTATCTGCAATGAAATCGTAAAACATTTCATCTGAATTGGTCGTTGAGCCGCATTGTATTCCACCAGCCCACATTGACCAGCATGGTGAAGTATGGTGAAACAACCCCCATGACTTTTTTTCGATTTAAAGCTTTCGTGACTGCAGGGATTCATCTTCTTGGTTCTTTCGGTAAAGTCACGTAGAAGGGAAGTAATAAAGTAATAAAAATAAAACATAATAAAATAATTCTCACGACGTTTCGGCCACAACGCAAGCAGCCGTCCTCATGTCTGTCGCCTCGACAGACCTGGTTTTCACCTGAGGACGGCTGCTTGCGTTGTGGCCGAAACGTCGTGAGAATTGTTTTATTATGTTTTATTTTTATTATTTAATTACTTCCCTTCTACGTGACTTTACCGAAAGAACCAAGAAGATGAACCCCCATGACTGATGTGGCATAGGAAAACCTTCGTCATTTATAAATTATCTTCTCAATACTGGACAATTTTTGTAACTGTTTGGTACACGTAAATGTACGGTACGGCCCTTTTCGTCAGTACACTGCTAGATGTGGGCCTCTCCACGCCGTGCAGATTGTGGGTGTTATTTGACCATATTTCACCACGCCGGTCAATGCAGGTTGAAACGCACATTTATGGTAGACGTGAGGAAATAAAATTGCTGCACTCAATGAATATAGGCATGCGCTTTATAGTGCATATAGCGATTGTCAGTATCACATTTCATCAGTGACCGATTGCAGAAGCAAGTAAAATGTAATGGGCTGTAGTGCAATACTCATACACATTAGTAGGCAGGGCATGCTGAGATAAAAAATACGAAGATCTTGCCATGAATATGACAAATATTAAAATAATGTTTCGCATTAAGATTAACTTTCATCATTTTGCAGTTTATCTGGCTTTCGCAAATTATAATTGGGGCTGCAAACATAGTGAAAATTTCGACACATTCACCAAAATGACATTGCAGAAAGTGGCTGTTATCTAGCAAACCCACGTAATGCGCCAGTCACCTAAGATAAATAATTAAAGTGTGGAATTTTTCAACCTTGGTGTCCTTTCCTTATTGAATCTATTCCTTTGTTTCCCCACCCGTCTTCTCGTATTGTATGCAATCAATCAGTTGCCTTTAATTTTGCCAGGCGAGCTCTCGCTGAATGTCATGAGTTTATTACTTTTTAAATAACATTTGGGGTGAATTAATTTGTAAATATACAAGCCCTTTTTTTCTTCTTGGTTCTTTCGGTAAAGACCTGTTCTTCACCTGAGGACGGCTGCTTGCGTTGTGGCCGAAACGTCGTGAGAATTATTTTATTATGTTTTATTTTTATTATTTTATTACTTCCCGTCTACGTGACTTTACCGAAAGAACCAAGAAGATGAATCCCTGCAGTCACGAAAGCTTTAAATCGAAATACAAGCCCTTTTGTCAATTCTTCTTCTGGGTGATGGCCTCCTCACGCTGTGTGGGTTGTTCAGGTCATTTGGCCACACTTTGCCATGCTAGTCAGTGTGTGTGTGTGTGAAGGCAGATAAGCCTAGACATGGGAGCATAGCGCATTGCAATGGATTTTGTGTAAGGTGGTTGACTAAGAAAAGCACAATCCAGGCTCAAACCTGCTTAGCTTTCAAGATCTGACAAGATTGGGTGTATTACAGGTGATTTGCTCATAGGCAGCAATGGAATTTAGATGTGTGCTCATTTTTAAATTGGCATTCTGGCCATGACAGATACACAATGGCCTCGCTGATATGAATGACATAACAGTATAACGTTGGGAATCTTTATTGTAATGCCTCATCAAACAATACTGGGCCACTGAAAGGAGAATAAAACTGTCAAACCACCTTTGGCACAGTGTTTAGTATTCGAAGCAAAGCTTGTGAACCAGACACAAATGTATACAAAACATTACAAAATACCATACAAGCAAAAGTGTTGCTTTTGTGCCCTCTGTTGTACCACTGCTCGGATATTACAAACTGTTTGTGCACTTGAGTCTGTGTATGGTAATTTCTTATCTATTAGCTAATATATATGTTTAATTGGCTTCAGGAATGCACGAATTTCACAGGAACACACACACACACAGTTATGTTGTGACCTTCTCATTTGACACCATCGCGCGTACGCTCAGCCCCCACATTATGCGGCACTTTATAATTGGAATGGCAACCCTTGGACAAAGTGCCGTAATATAATGAAGCAACGAATATAGCGTTTCTGTTCATGTTGAGAACCCTGATAAAGATTTTGCCAAAATTAAGGCTCGTCGTGGCTTGGCACTTTAGCTGCAATTTCATAAAGGCAGCATGAAAGTGCGGCCTAGTGGAAAGGGCTTTCATTAAAATTCTTAGGTTTTTTTCGGTAAAGTCACGTAGGTAAAACATCAAAATTAATAAAAATAAATAAAATAAAACAAAAATCACGACGTTTCGGAGGCAACACAAGTCTCCGTCATCAGGTGGGACCGTCACAGCCGGATTAGCTGCATCAATTCATTAATGTTTACCCACAGGGTTGCCACGATATATAGCAATCCCTCACTGGCAATTTAGCACGGTTGACTATGTACGGTGCAAAAGAAGTTCGACATATGTATAATCCTACGAAACGTTGTACGTTATGAGACCCACGGTGACCACAGCGTCCTCTGCACAAAGTACAGTTATGTTTTGATTATCGTTGCTAATTCAATTTTTCTGAAATGTTTTTTTATTGCTGCCAAAAAAAATTGAAATAGCAAACTCGGTAATTGAAGTTTCAAATAAATAGCTATCTTGCCCATAAATTAATGCTCTGCAAAATGCTTTCTGTATTAATTGACAGCATGGCTGTTACATAACACAGTTTAATTCATTATTTTAATATCCTTAGTGTAACTGACAGCTTGTGAATTTTAAGCGTCGTGGATTTTAATGATTAGAAAGACATATGGCAGGCTTAAATTGAGTAAACCGCAGTTAAGAAATCTTTAAGTAATCTCTATATGTACTGGAAGTACAGCAAAGCACAAAACATGCACTAAAACAGGTTAAATAAAATTACTAAGTTGTGTGAAACTGATATCGTGATAATTGTCATATTGTGAAATGTTATATCATATTGACAAAAACATGATATCACTGCAGCTATTTATAATAAACTTAATTAGACAGACATGGTCTGATCTCTCCAGGTATTACAATTTCTTCGGCAGTTCTGCATATATTTATAAGTAAAGTTTGCAGTAACTGCTTACATATTTACAGGCAGGTCCAGCGTGTGTGTAAGGGGATTATTTTTTATTTCTGGTGGTTAATTTGGCCAGACAGCAAGCCTCACTTTGCCTTCAAGGTCAGCATATATTTTCTCATTACCGGCCAGTAACACCCTATCAGGGGATGCTTGGGAAAGCGCAAGAATGGACAGACCTTGGCTCAACATTAAACTTAAGGGACTTCTACAGCAAAGACACATATATTGCTCATAATGACGACAACGTGGCCCCAGGTTGTCTTCCGCCCACCGCTCACCCCCCGCCCCCGAATCACACACACACACACACGCACGCAGGACCTCGCCTGACCAGCTCGTGGAAAGTCAAGCTAAGAAACATGTGCCTCCGGCCCACGTGTGTGCACAGGTCATGCAGGGGGTGCTGATGGGCCGGCTGACTAAGCGCTTCCACGAAGGCAGCCTGCTCCTCTGGGGCATCGGCATCACGAGTTTCGTCGGCATCGGCTCGGTAAGACGGTCAACCCACGCCGAGGCGGTGTGTAGGGATGGATGAAAAGATGTATGGATAAATGGACAGATGTACGTTCGGTTCACGTCTCAACAGCGTGCCTCATTTAGTATTTTCCATAGAAGCAATTTGGTCCTTATACCTGCATGTATGTTGAACCTCTTTCGCATCCTACGTAGCCAATCATTCTAATCGGAGGTGCATATACCTCGTTAACGGTGCCGCTACAAAGCTGCCACATTTCCCCTACCCCGTCTCTCCACCGCCACGTTGCGTTTCGTACATCCACCTCTTTCAACACATCTGGCCAGGCTGGAAGAGTAGACCAAATACCCTTGAGCGTCCTCTCCCAGCGGAGGCCCTTCCGCTCGCCGGCGGTTTGGTTCAAACAATCGCAACGGCCGTGGCCATCACCCCCGACAGCGCTGCACTGCAAGCCTGCGTGCCCCGAGTGTGGGAAGAAATCGCAGGTCTGTTTTTAGTTGGATCGGCCAAGCGTGAACGTGTCTCGGAGGGTTGGAGAGGCCACGGGCTTGTGAACGCTCGCAGCAAGGGAGCGTCGCGTCGAACCGCTGGGTTGCCGCTTGCATCAAACGAGCGCCCAGCCACATTCGAAACTGGAATTTCGCAATGGCCTTTGCATTAATGAAAACACTCTGACATTCACAAACAGAGGCGCAGTTAATAACAGATGCCTCTTTTAGCCGCAGATGAACGGTGAAATTTGTGAAATTCCCCTTAATGGCTTGCATGATCACCCAGATCTAACCCACAATTGTAAAAAAAAAAGAATCTTATTTATGCAGGGTACATCTCTTGAGATGTATTTACAAAGATTTATAGCTCCAAGAATGATTCTCCATATATAAATTAGCTATGTAGAGGGAATTTGGCTTGCCCATAGATCTTGCTGATCTGTAGTGGGATTTGCTCTGTGACAGAGATTAAGGCCGCAGCTATGATTAAACGATTCCATGAAATGTTTACGTCTTATCTCATTTTGTAACCTTACTTCTTCTGTATGCCGAGCACAAGGGTAGATTGCAAACTCTCCCTCCATTTCTGCAGCTGAAACTTTTGTCTGCAACTTTGACCTTGCAGAAAAAAAAAAACATAATCACATAAATACTTAGCGCTCAATTGCTTTCATAAAAACGCCTTGAAATTTCCGTCTGATTGAATGCACCCAATTAGGTTGCCACCACGAAGTAGTTGAAAGGGCTGAATGGAATGATTGCTTTTTTGTGGGCGCCTTGACAATCTACTTAATTGTCTCTTCGAAGAGATTGTTAAAAATAAATATAAATTTGAAGAAAGTTCACTCCGGACCGAGCGATATTAAACGCATGCGACACATTGGAGCACACCAGCCTGTATTTTAATAAACGAGGCCATAGTAAGGCTATAATAGCCTCATCGATACATTGGCTTATATTGTGAGGCCATACCGCTTGATTGAATGTATGCTCAATTAAATTAAATATTCAGCCATTAAAAACTGTGCAAGGAATAAACAGTCATTGTCCCCTTGCATAGAACATCATGGCAGTTCATGGAGAAACCCAAACTGCCCTCCATTGAAATAGGGGCAGTCGAATAGAACTGTCTCCATGTATAAATAAAAATATAATTTTATCTTCTTGGTTCTTTCGGTAAAGTCACGTAGAATGGAAATAATAAAATAATAAAAATAAAACATAAAATTACCGAAAGAACCAAGAAGATGAATCCCTGCAGTCACGAAAGCTTTAAATAAAAATATAATTTTAGTCCATCGGACCTCTTGCCTTAAAGACCAATATTACCCTGCAGCATTGATTTAAACAATCCGACCCCTGGACTTGTTTTTTGACCGTTTGGGACTCATCAGCAAGGCTCAGGCTTGTTGAACAAACGGCTGCCGAAATGTCCCTCTCGTTGGAAGAAGCAGCGCAGCTGTGCGGTCGGCCCGAGGGAGGACATCGACTCCGACGTCTTTAGGGGGGCGAGCGCTGCGGAACAGGACGCCCGCGCGCGACCCCACACACGGGGCACGCGACACACCTGCTCGGACGCTTTGCGGCCCGTCGTCGATTGGTCACCTGTAGTCCACCTCAAGTGGTATTCTTAGGTTTTTTCGGTAAAGTCACGTAGGTCAGAAATTAAAATTAATAAAAGTAAAATAAAAATAAAATAAAAATCACGACGTTTCGGAGGCAACACAAGCCTCCGTCTTCAGGTGGAACCGTCACAGCACGATTGCTGTATCAAGTGAGAGAAATTCCAAGAAAACAGTATTTGTATATATACTGGTTGAGGGTGGGAGGAGCCAAGGTAGGCCCTGGATATTATTTTTGTGAGGTTCGGTGCGGCTGAAGCACCTCAAGTGGGCTTGTCATCGCCACCGTTGGGCGTTTGGTGGCGAGCGGACAGTTTTATCCTCCTATTCAGTGGCCCAGTATTGTTTTATGCGGCATTACAATAACGTTATACTGTTATGCCACTCATATCAGTGAGGCCATTGTGTATCTCTCATGGCCAGAATGCCAATTTAAAAATGAGCACACATCTAAATTCAATTGCTGCCTATGAGCAAATCACCTATAATACACCCAATCTTGTCAGATCTTGAACGCTAAGCAGGTTTGAGCCTGGATTGTGCTTTTGTTAGGCAACCACCGTGAATATAACGTTACACAAAATCCATTGCAATGTACTATGCTCACATGTCTAGGTTTACCTGCCTTCACACACACACACACACCGACTAGCATGACAAAGTGTGGCCAAATGACCTGAACAACCCACACAGCGTGAGGAGGCCATCATCCAGAAGAAGAATTGACAAAAGGGCTTGTATATTTACAAATTAATTCACCCCAAATGTTATTTTAAAAGTAATGAACTAATAACATTCAACGAGAGCTCGCCTGGCAAAATTAAGGGCGTCCGTTACAAAGAAGGCTTCGGTTACGTTGAGCTGCCGTCCCCATTTATTTATTTGACGAAAACTTTTTTAAATCCTTTATATTAAGTTCACTTGCTTGCGCGCTTGCGCGCTTACGACCGTGCAAATCTTTCGGTCGTTTTTTAACCCACTTCCCGTGATCCAATCGAGCTGACATTTTGCACACAGACTCGTTGTGTGTGACAATTTATTTTCGTGAATTTTTTCCCCCAAAATTTTACACTTTTTAGGGAACTTTTTTTTTTATATTAAATTACCAATTGCTTAATGGTGGCACGCAATCATCTGACCCATAGGTGGCAGCCATCTCAAGCCAGAGGACGAGAGGACTCTAGCCGCCACGCATATAAAGGATTTATAGTGAAAAACTTTGTTTTTACGGGTTAATTTTTTTTCATCTCCCCTCGGTGTTCAAATCTTTAACGAGCTGCCCGGCCTCTCGTGCGGCCTTCCCCACGTCTGCGCTGTTGTTGTTGTTGTGGCGGTGATGCATCACATCTTTTGGGGCGGTTTCGATGGTGGCGGCGCTCAGCGTAAATTTTTTTTCCGATGCGCGTGCAATTTGCGGTGTCTAACTTGATGGGGCTTTTAATAGTTATTCCCCCCCCCCCCGCCTTTGTTAACACGAATGCAACCAAAATAAAAGTTTTGAAAAAGCTTCATTTGGCTCCAATTACATTCCTGGCATTTTAGGCACCAAAGGTCACGGTAAACGCTGATCTTACCCGCTGCAGCTGTTCTCTGTGCTCCGTGTATTACGTGTGCTCCGAGGCAAAATGGTATTGTAAAAATAACGCAATAATCCGATAACAGTAACCGCAGCAAGATCATCATTGTTTTTTTTTTGGGGGGGGGGGGGGGTTATTGCGTATAAGCAGGTCAGACTGAGCTCCAACGTTTAATCGCTGCTTCATGAAGATCAGCACAAAGAACATTGCATACTTAATGATATTTTTTTGCTACATCTTTTAAAGTAAAAAAAAAAACTCCTGTGGTTCATTTGTGTGTGTGAGCCAGAAACATAACGCTAATTAGTCGTCTATCATTTTATCAAGTATTTTATTTTTAACAGATTAATTTGCAGCGGCTTCATTACATTCATTTCACACCCACAAGTATGTGTCTGTGTAGAGAAGCAGTTTGTGTGGGGAGCAGGAGTGTTGCAGCGCGCTGTGCTGCGAATCCGGTGACCCGAGTACGATCCCCGCTCACAGCCAACACCACTGACGAATATCTGAAATGGTCATGGGCCTCACCTAGGTCGACTCAGCCTCAAATGAGTACCTGGTGTGTAAACATCGCCACTGGGGAGACAAAGGCAGCTTGGCGTGGTGCTGGCCACCCATCCCCTCGTGTGCCGTGCCGGCCTCGATAGGTGCTCGTTAGCAGCACTTGCCCCAACAGTTTGTTAAGGCTGTACGGGGGATCTTTGTCTATGTGTGGTGTCATAGTTAGGGCACTGTGCTACAGGTCCGTTTTCTGTCTGTGAATACTATTGACGCTTAGCCTTAAAATCATGGAAGGGTTGCCACCTTTGAATATAAGAAAGTATTGACAAAGAGCAGGTTAAAAGGAGTTGTACTATGTCACAGTTATACATTCGCACAAATAAGTGTTTGGGACAAAGGGTGTCAAATCACGCAATTTTAAGTGCAAAGACAGTGCCAAGGAGTATGGACATTGCATGTGATATATATATAGTGTCGAGAATGTGTACGGGTGACCCAACAGTGGTTTCCATGACTATTGGAAATCAGGGTCTTCTGGCCCAAGAACGGCCCAGTTCAATCACTGTGCTCAATGAATAAAGGTCCGTGATTTCATCCCGTCTCCTCATATCCACACCCACCAGGCCACCAACCGCTTTCCCTCCATACTAACTTGCACAACGACGCATTCATTCATTAATATTGATTGCTACGTTCACGATACCTGCATTCAGATAGTGCTCGTGAGAATCGATTGTTCAAAATGTATGTGTGTAGCATCTTTAGAATGAGGGGGCAGGGTCCATTCCAAATGCCACCAACATTTATTGAATGTCTGTAACAAT